GGGCTCATTTGACCCCCCCCCCCTAGAACTCGCGAACGGTAAGTCGTATGACCACTAAATTTTCAGAGGATGGTGTACTAGTAAAAATTTATCATATCTACAATTTTTATGTTGTCATGACGTAATATAACGTCATATGACGTCATTAATGTGATTTTATTGGCCAAAACCGTCAAGATAGTTTTTTCCCTAAAAACTAAATGGTATTCAACATAACTGTACCAAAAGTGTTTATGACAGAATATTAGGGTGTACTAAGGCTTATGTTGCCCATAGCAACACCGGTGACGTCATAAAATGACGTTATGCATATTTAAGATATCCGCCATCTTGGATCATCAATCTTGAATTTTCAAAAATAGTTTTTTTTCATGATAAAGCCTAAAATACATTGAAAACATACTAAAGACCTTCATTTAAACCTTTTTTGGAAAAAGAAGGGATTATTTATTAAATTTTAATGAAAATAACCTGTATATACCTATTCTAATGATATGGTCTTGGAATTTCGCCAATGACGTCATCAAATTAGCATAAATCATGCATATTTAATGGGAGAATTTATATAAAATTATATGGGATGTTATTAATATTAGAAACCATAAGTAACTTGACATAAAACCCATAAAATTCTATTGTTGAAACAAAAAGTAGTAAATTTAGCAAAAAATGCCTGCCAGAAACCCGTTGCCATGGCAACACAAAAAATTATTATCTTATTCCAATGATAGAGAATTTTTGTTTGGCCAAGTTTGGCCGTTCTACGGCTAGCCGTTCAGACGCTATGTGACATCAAATTTGGCGCGGGCACTTTTAGCCCCCCCCCCCCGGTCTAGGTAGGGTTAACTCATATTTCTCCCTACCTCTTTTTTTTAAAATATAAATAACCTGTCAACTATCAAAAGTACTATATAGTAACACAACACATTAGACCATGTTTAAAAATGAACATCTTGCCTATTTTGTAAGTTATCTAAATAAAGAATCATCCTAACACGGTGTCACGTCGACAGATTCTTTCATTGTATATCCTTTATATCCGAGTAACGTACAATTGCCTTCTAATTTTAATACACATTATGACATACACAATTTCCTTGAAATCTAATGAAGTATAGACTACATTGAATGAATGCCAAGATAACCACAGGTAAAATGGGTAATTGCATACGTGGGTTGGAAGTTGAGCTTTTTAAGAAAGGAAATTACAGCCAAAATTGTGTCCTCATTACACTGCAACAATTATATACTTAAGATATACTTCCGGCACAAAGTAACATCATTATTTACATTTTCAAGTAAGATAAAAAAAAATTATTTTAGAATATATCAGATATAAAAACTTGTTCTTTAATGTTTTGTGTATAAGTGTTTCGGTCTATTATTTTAGTATTGCATTAAGCAATTCCTCCTAAGGTTGTAGAGGCTCGAGTTTCGTTAAGTCTTTGTGTTACTTTATTATTATGCATTACTTTATTATCTTATTGTTGATATTTGCTATATGTATTATTGTTATTAGTATTTTTCTTGCAGTTACTAGTATCATTATCATAATTCTCATTGTTACAATTACGAGTATTGTTATTATTAATATTTATTATTTCTTCTTAAGTCCTTTTGCCGTTTTTAGCTTTATTTGGACAGGGAATTCAAACGGACACCCCTGTTTTCCCTTGTCCTTTTACATGTTATATATCAATTAAAGTTTAAATAAATAAGTGAATAATTAAATATAATTAATAAATAAAGGTGTACTAAATCACGTATTTTAATCATTGCCAGCGTGGCTGTACACGAAGATGAAGGTCATACAGGCTGACAAGGACAAGCTTCAGAGCAGAGTCCAGTCTGGCTCCCAGCAGCTAGAGGAGCTACAGGACAGGACCAGACAGCTGCTGACGGACAGGGAAGACCTTCAGAACAGGATAAATAAGGGCGCCCGGGACATCTTACAGCTGCAGGACAGCACACAGAACCTACAGACACAGCTGGACAACGCCACAGCACAGCTCAACAGGAAGGACAGGGCGCTGGAGGGCATACAGCAAGGTCTGGCCAGCTTTGGGGATTGTAACAGGGCAGACGACTGCAACATAAGAGGTACGGGGCCAATTCTGATTCTAACAGGCCCCAGTATGATTCCGTGCTAACAATTTAATTCTGAAAAAACTTTAATCGTTTCAAAATAAATTTGCAGTTCATCTGTCGTTCTCGACGATGATACACCATTTTGGATTTTGAATAGAAATTTCGAATGTAACGGACTTACTTGTAAAACCTTCATAGCATATAGTTATTGGAACAGTATACACAAGAGTAGATACTTATAATATGAATTACTTATCACTTTTGTTTGGCAATTGTGGTTTGTGTATTCATCAGATTGAATTCTTTGTGTAGCAACGAAATAGAATAACTAATCATTGATGTTCAGAAATTTAAGCATTTTAACTGAGAAACCTAGCCTTTTGCTGAGAATTAAAACCCTGTACTGACTTGTATTTTGTTCTGACGCTGCAGATTGCTCAGACGTAAAAGCGAGGAACAGTTTGGACGGCGTGTACCCGATCTGGCCCGACAACTACACCAGTGCCCTGTACGTCTACTGCGACATGACGACCGCCGGCGGGGGATGGACCGTCGTCCAACGTCGTCAGGACGGCAGCGTCAACTTCTTCCGCAACTGGACGGCCTACAAATACGGCTTTGGAAACCTGAATGGTGAACTCTGGCTCGGGACGCAGACTTTATACACGTTACTGTCGCAACGCCTGTACAAACTTCGCATCGACCTGGAGGACTGGGATGGAGTGAGAAGATACGCGGAGTACGATAACATCACGCTTGGCCCTGAGTCTGACAACTATAGGTTAACGCTAGGTACGTACCGCGGCAATGCCGGGGACTCTATGACAGGCGAGAATGGGACGATGGGCATCTTTACCCGCAACCTAAACAACATGCAATTCAGCACCAAGGACAGAGATAATGACAACAGTATGAACAACAAACACTGTGCTCAGATATACAAAGGCGGCTGGTGGTACAACGACTGTTACAACGCTAACCTGAATGGGCGATATTACTTCAACGGGCGATATAGTGGAAATGTCCAGGATGGTATTGAATGGTTTAATTTTCGAGGGTGGTTTTATTCACTAAGATACGTGTCAATGAAAATTCGACCAGCTGATTTTGTACCTGTGGTTTGACCATCTATTATGCAGATTGTTCTTTGATGAAAATCAAATTGTTCAATAACTCAAAGACACTGACTTAACGGATTTTTTTTGACTGAATATCTCGGTCTTCATCAGCCATTTGATCTAAGTGTTCACCCAAGAAAAAAGTATTCTTCTTTTAACTTCCCAAAACCCACTAATTTTAGAAAAGGTGGGACATTACGTCTTCCATGGTCTACAAAAGAGAAGTCATACCCCTTAGAAATAGTTTTAGACATAGCTATAGCTCTAGACAACTACCTTTTATCATGTAGATTTTATTTATTTTATACTACGTATCATTGTTCTTTTATGTTTGTAATCTAGAATTAGCCCCCCGGGCATGAATTTGCAATAAACTTCACTCGATATTTCCCAACGTGTGTCATCAGCACTAGGTCCGTCTGGAGGGGCGGTACCGACTTCCGACCGTTTGACATAACTATGAAAAAATCACGTGTCTACAGAACTTGGATCAGATAGCGTACAAAGACCAAGAGATTTAGTTGAAAATTCCAATGAGTCAATTTCCTTGAGCTGGAAAACAGTTCGAATTTATCGTGTAATTTACCAACTCATAATTAACTCTCAAGCTAAAATTCTCCTTGATTGAGAAAGTGTACAAAGGGTTTATGTATTTGTATAGTCAAGGCAACACCTAAGTAGCATTTCGTGTGGGTGGGTGGGTGTGTGAGGGGGTGGAACCAAGGAAAATAGCGGTGGCCAATGAAGACAAAGTCGTCGCTTAAAGGGGCATGATGTAACATTTTACATTTTGCACCAAAGATTTATATATTCTAATTGAGAAAAACCTCGTTAGATTGTAATTTAGTTCCAACTTTCAATATATGTACAATTATCTCACATTTCTTACATTTCGGTTGGCGTTAGCTCAACCAAGAAGAAGCGCACTCAGTTTGTGGTGCCACCTCAAACTACCGACATTTAAGCAAACATGGATGATAGCTTTGTTTCCACCTTTTTAGGCGTCATTTCGGCACCGCCACTTCCTAAATGGCTCTTTTTGCCATGAAGTAGAGTTGGATCTACTCTACAACACCAGAAAACATACTTTCTGCATCATCCTACATAATGCAGCTTTAACTTACATGAGATTCGCTGGGTGAACACCGCCAGATGTATAATATGCAATTGCAGCAAAATTTCACCGCATCTTAATTAACAATAGGCGTCACACATGTTCAAGATATAGATTTGATACAGAAAGATTGTGATACAATTTACATGTACGCTGTGAAAGTTTCTTGCGGATCTTTTGGCAAGGGACAAGTGAACACCAAGACTTAAAAAGATACGGCTGTATATACATAGTTTACCAGGTAGTTTAGGACTTAAAAAAGATGCACCTTGCTTAATTGACTTGCCATTGTTAAAGAAGGAAAATTAAATGTACCACAGTTTTAAATAGACAGATAACAGTTACCATATAAATGCTGTGATTATGCGAATGAGCCAGCATACTAACACTATAAGGTATAATACTATTGCATATATCAACCCGAAGAGAATATGTGTGCATCCTGTTGCATGTATTCGACATTGATTCATTGAATAAAGTGTAATGCAAATAACAAAAGGGGGATGCAGCAAGAGATGGATTAATTTGAACTGCTCTCAGGGAGCACAGTTGGCCCCTACAGCTCTTGGCAACATTTGACAACTTCAGTCAGTCACAACAACTGACTTACTATACCACCAAAGAGAACACTTCTTTACAACGAAGTGTGTACATACTTTGCTGTGTAAATTCGCGTTGCTGGTCATTAAACGTTGTATCCATATCAGAAGACATGTTACATGATATATTCATGTGTAGTCTACCGGGTTTTGTGTATGTTCTTCTTGAAATAAAAATTTATATCTGGAAACTTGAGAAAAGGATTGTCGTGGTATTCTTCGTAAGTGCAGTAGAAAGCCACAGAAAGGTTTTTGCCACAAACTCTAAAGTCGTCGATTTAAAAATGTTGTGAGGTTATCTAATCACCTAAGGTCCCGTTTGTTTTATGGTGGTAAATGCCATGAATTTTATACTCGATACCCCATTTGGGAGCAAAGTATAGGCAAGCCTCAGAATTTTTTTTTTAATTTTTACTTCATTTGCATGATTTATAGCATAACTGCTAGAATAGCCTTTTTGTTTAGATAAGGCCTTGCTTGGGTGAAGAAAATGATCAACATGATGAAAATGAAATGTGAATCATATTTTCATAGTCAATGAAAAAATGTATCATTTAGGTATGATATCGTGGGACTCTTGCTTTAGGCTCATTTTGGTAAAGGTAGAAGCTTTGCAAAAAAATCCTTTTCCTTTAGTGTTACACCCTGACATAACATCTGAATGCGTTCATCCGTACCCGTATTAATATATACGTCATGGAGGTCTGAGATATCCAAATTCTTTTTCTTAGATGGAATTCACGGGTTTTCCTCAAAGCGAATGCAGCGAATAAAAACAAGACAACAGTCAAATAAGAACGACATATTTTATGTCCGACAAGCAAGGGGGGTATTAAAGATGAATTCCACTTTATGATGTTATAGCCAACATATGAAGAAAACAGACAAAAGTTGATGCAATCCATAGCTTTCAAAATTAATATTACGCTACCTCACTCAAAATCAGATATCTTTAATATGCTCCTTTCATGTCCTTCTCAGATATCAGTGTACGTTTTCACATCTGAATCACTAAAAAAGCAACACAAAATTGTAAATAACTAATATACGAGAATTACAGAATGTTATAATATTCTTTCTAAGAAAACACAATAGATTAGCTTTAGTATCATTATGGACTAGCTCGTTAGAATCATAATTTAGAATTAGTTTGTGTATTTACCCTTGTTGTTTTTGCCATAAATTGTACCAGCTACAGTTGTTGA